TTTTTTTTTTTTTTTCCTGAGTTTCAGGGTTGTTTTGCGTATAATCAAAGGCATCATAGGATTCATTTAAACTTATAGCTGTTAGTAAAGTTTCCCTCTTTCAATGGTTTGGTTTTTTATTTTATGAGTTCATCAATTTTCTATTTAAACGATTTCAGGATTTTTGTTTAATGATCAATCTATTCTATCAAATTGCGAATTTAAAATCTTAACGGACATGTTTGAGGCATACTATATATTTAGGCACAGACTAATTTGATATAAAGTTGTGTACTTTAACATTCCTAGTGTCACACCTTTTTTGCCAATGCATTGACTCCAAGCTATCCAGTTCACAGAACCGTACTATATTCTATCTTACGTACTACTGGATTGAATTTTTCTAATACTTAAGGAACTCCCAGTTATTCAGTTCACATTTTCTTTTCCTTTATCTGAAAACTCTGAGTATTTACCATGCATATAACATCTTTTGTTTATAAACTTATCTAGGTTGAAGGACAGGAAGGAGAAGTTATTTTTGACCACTTGCATGCCACTGCCTTCCAGCATACGCCTCTTGGCAGAACCATCCTGGGACCAGCTGAAAACATCAAATCAATTCGCAAAGAGGACTTACAGAAGTACATAGCAACTCATTACACTGCCCCTAGAATGGTACAGAGTATTAGGCTTCTTTTCACGGGATTAGTTCTTGTTTTGTTCCATCCTTGCTTGTCCATCTGACATATTCTTCATTTTGGCTTCTATTTTAGGTGGTGGTTGCTGCTGGTGCTGTTAAGCATGAAGATATTGTTGAGGAGGTGAAGAAATTATTTACAAAACTGTCATGTGATCCAACAACAGCTTCTGACTTAATAGCCAGAGAACCTGCTATCTTTACTGGTTCAGAGGTATGCTTATCTTGTTTTAATGTGATAATATCCTTGAGTACAAGTCTTGCTGATCTATACTGTTAACTCTAGGTTCGGATGCTTGATGATGATGTTCCCCTTGCCCAAGTTGCTATTGCTTTTGAGGGATCTTCTTGGACAGATCCAGATTCCATTGCTTTGATGGTTATGCAGTCGATGCTGGGTTCTTGGAATAAAAATGCTTCTGGTGGCAAGCATATGGGGTGAGTTATTAGCCACTCTCGTTACATACTTCTGGTTTATCTGATTTCAGTAGACGTTGCTTTTGATCTTTTTAATGTTGGATGCATCAACCTTTGTCTTTGTTAATCTTTGATGCAGGCCAGAGCTTGCACAGAAGATTGCAATCAATGAAATAGCGGAGAGCTTTATGGCTTTCAACACCAACTACTATGATACTGGCTTGTTTGGTGTTTATGCTATTGCCAAGGTGGGCCCCTATTTTGGGTACATAAGAGGGAAGTAACCTTGAATTAATACCTGAAGTTATAACATCAAAATATGCATTCCTGTGTCTGTAGTAATACGATGGAAACCAACAGTTTGCATCTGTCTGCTTCTGTATTCAAATTTTCCCTCTTTTTCATTTTGCGGTTAATGTTTTCTGCCTGCAGATGAGTGTGGAAGCTAAAAATCATTTAGCTACTTTAAGGATTACCTATAAATCCTGTTTTCTCTTTTCTTCCTTCCATGCATGTTGCGGTAGAGTATAATTTTTAAAAATTCAACTGGTTTATTTTCCTCGTCTTTTGTTAATTTGAGTATGTTGGGGCTTGGAAATAATTTCATATAGTTGTTGATATTTTAACCTTGATTGCCATGTTTATATTTGTTTATGCTATACTGAACTGGCTTCTATCCAATGCCCCCTTTTTGGGTGGGATGGGGGCACTTAGTTTAGCAGTTAATCATTGTTGTTTCGGCATGTTGCTGTTGTTAACATGTCCCTTACATTTTGTAGCCTGATTGCTTGGATGACTTGGCCTATGCAATTATGTATGAATTAACCAGACTATGTTATCGTGTATCGGAGGCTGATGTCATTCGTGCTCGTAACCAGGTAATATATTAAGGTCGTGGTGTCATGTTGGTATACATATACAAGGTGACCAAGTAGATATGGTTTCATGGAAGGCCTATATGGGTCAATTACAACCTTAATCCTTGTTTGTTTTAATCAATTTCAATGCTAGCTTGACTCATTGATATTGTGACCTGCAGTTGAAGTCTTGTTTGCTGCTTCATATTGATGGAACCAGTCCTGTTGCTGAAGATATTGGGCGCCAGGTAGGTTGACATGTCAAATGATCAGTTAGTACTACCAAATAGAGTATGCACCATCAATTATAGCACACGAAACACTATGCACCAGTTTTAAGTTCTAGTCTTCCCTAGGGCCTAGTGGTTTGTACCATTTTCTCTCACTTGTTGTGAGGATGGGCTGTGCGAAGATGAAAATGTTGCAACTCAAGTGAGTCATAATGTTCCTCTTATGTTTTGGTTGGGTTATGTCGTGCAATTTTCCCAAAGCACATGGTTGATTATAGTAACATTGCATCAGTTTTTACTGCTCTCTTTTGTCTTTTCATTATCAATGGTGTTTGACGTGTACTTTTGGAACAAAGGTAGTCATAACTTCAAGTGACTGCTTATCTAGCCCTAAACATTTTTGTCTCTGTAGCTTAACATGTGGTCAGGATTGCTTATCTAGCCCTAGACATTTGTCTGTAGTTTAACTTGTGGTCAGAGATTACAGAATATCTGAGCAATAAATAAGAAAAAACTGTTTGTACTGTGCATACGTAGATGTGATCTGCTATGACCGACTTCCTATGAGCTCAGGTGGAATAAATTATACATTAATCTGAAAAGTCAAAGCTGTGAGCTCCTTAAGGTCATAGTTTCCTCCACAACTTCTTCTTCCTAGAAGTTATAGGGCTCACTCTATGTGCAGAGTGTTCTCTGTCCTTAATTGTGGGCATATGAATCTTGGGTCTTCACCATCAAAAGCCTGATTATTGGGAATCCTGACTTTATATTTCTAGTTAGCCCCAGTAAAGTTTGATCTAAGGCACAAGGGTGAAATTGAGCAGGTTGAGTAATATATATATATATATATATGTATATGAATTCCTATTAGTTTTATTTCTTTTGCTATATCTGAACTGGCTGGATAGTGCCCCTGAATCCAAATCCCATTGTTTGGTCGTGTGCACTATTGAAGAAGAACTCTTGCAGGTCTAATCAGTCAAATTTGGATTGTTGGGTTATCCTGTAAATGTTTTCTGAACAGAAAATGTGTTCTTGTACTTCGTAGTGTCATTTGTTTTCCCTAAAACAAAAACACACCAAATAGTTGTTTTACGTTGCGACTATGACATTTCATTGTTAAAGTACACAACTTTCCTGAAAAAGTGTTCGCTATAGAATAGACTACTGAGTGTATTAAACTTATATGGCTGAGGGGCACTGTGTTGGAAGTTTTATCGTATTAATGTATTATATATTTCATCACTTTATATTTGTGATTGCAGCTGCTTACATACGGTCGAAGGATGCCATATGCTGAACTGTTTGCCAGGATAGATGCTGTAGATGCCAGCACCGTGAAACGTGTTGCTAACCGGTTTATATTTGATAGGGTAAGATGGACCTTTTCTCTGATGTAGGAGATGCAAAAATATTAATTGAACCGATCCTACATTGTGTCCAGTTCATGCTCACTACTATTTTTTGCGATGTTGCAGGATGTTGCCATTAGTGCCATGGGGCCCATCCAGGGCTTGCCCGATTACAACTGGTTCAGGCGCCGTACCTACTGGCTCCGTTACTAGACTCCCTCTTTCGCTTCATACCTTCAACTTTTCTTGGTTTGGCCCGTCAATGGGTCGTTTTTCCTTGTTTTTTGAGTGGAGTCGGTACATCTGGTTATGGCCAGTTGCTTTTTAGCCATTTCTTGTATTAGTTAAAATAAAATTGAAATTGTAATCCGTGGCATGGTATGTTATGTGGGATGAGAGTTCAGTGCTACTTACTCCTAGAAGATGAAGGCATAAGGGGTCCAAGTTCCGGACACGAGATTGTTGGTTTCCAAGTTTTATTCATTTTTTGAAAAAAAACACAATGGAAGGTGAAGAAAAAGGGTGCCTGTAATCACTGACTAGATTTTTTGGTCTGTCAGCAATAAGGAATGCTACGATGTTGAATGGTTTTCTATTCTGCACATTTCGCTGTATAACATTTGTTTAGCATATAAATTATGTGATTTTTGCAAGCAACTGGCACCCAATTTTTGTTTGAACACATTACTCTCCGATTTCTACGGGGATGGTCAGACCGTAAAAGAAGTAATGCATTTTTTGTTCTGTTAAGGGCGACAGAAATAGAAGGGAAACAGTGGAAACGAGAAATTTATATATGATCATTTGAGAAGATAAAACCTCCATAAGAACAGTTTCACTAATGTAGAGGCCTATAATTCTGTAGATTCAACTCATTCTCATCTAAACTCTCAGTGCCCTGGTGCACACTGGTCGCCATATTCAATAATTGACACGCTTCTAAATATTTCTGTCAGACCCGAGGCTTGCCATTTCAATCAATCCTTCTCTTAAGACACTAGCATGATTATTCAATCCATGCCAACTCGAATATGGGAACCTACAGTGAAACTGTAGTGCGAGTAGAATTTGCTTTTCGCTCCAAAACTCACTCGTGTAGGTTCTTCAAGATGTGTAGCTAAATTATGGCAATGTGGTATTTGTCTGTTGGACATATGTGTACATACTTGTCTTTCATAAAATAAAGAACAACACTAAAGGAGTATGATAGCAAACGACTCAGATTAAAATATGATCAACCCTTGAACACGAATGACAAACACGATCCTCCAACAAACTCGAACAAAATACACATACATAATCAAAGTTGAAGTACGTGAAACAAACTCTCCGTAAGACGAAATTGCCACCGACTAATGTCCACGGTTTCAAATACCTCTCCAAGACACAACTTTTATCTTGTTGTGTATAGAGAGACTTTAAATACATACGATTTCGACAAACTTGTGTTTAAAACTCTCATGAAAGGAAGCAAGAATAATGAATATAAGATGAACATGAACTATATTTATGTTCATGTACATCTCCAGGGGGTTCATGCATCAAGATACACTTTTCGAGACATGCATGGTTCATCCAAAACTGAGTTGGAACCTTTTCAGCACAAGTAGGTGAGTCCGGGTCGTGTGCTCGTCGCGCCCGCGATGAGCCGTTGCACGCAGTTGCTAGCGCGCCGGGAGACTGTACGTGCTCGCAGGGGCGGATCTAGAAAAATAAATTGGGGGGACCATTTTTTTAATGACATATACTTAACAATGAAGACATAAAGTAGCAATTTTGGAATACAAAAAAGTTGTAATAAAAGAATACATACCTTCAAACTTCGTTTCTACTTGAATTGTGCTCGACGTTCTTTCAAGTCACAAAATTCATCAATGATCGACTCGGTACTAATAGATCTTGCAATTTCTCGTTCGATAAAGATAGTCAAAGAATTTAGAAGAAAGTCATCTTCCATTTTACTTCGAAGTCTGGATTTAACAATAGCCATAGCCGAGAATGCACGCTCTGTTGTCGCCGTAGACACAGGAAGAGTGAGAATCAGCCTGATCAATCTATCAATCAACGGGTAAACCAAAGACTTTCTACTTGTTGCCATCCATTGACACAAATCAGAGATAGTACACAAAGTTTGAAATTCTGAATGCTGGATAACATCAATCTCATAATGTTTCAATTGAGCTTGTAGTAAATCTTTTTCATAATCCGTGAAGTCCCCAGGATAGAATTCATTGACAAGGAGGCAAGCATCATCTATATTAAAAGACAATCGAGAATGGCGAGGGTCGAACATAGAGCTAAGAACAAGTAGCTTCACGGCATGCTCACTAACCTGTTGTTAAGCTCTTGCAATTGACAATCTATTGTAACCGTAAAAATATTAATACGGTAATGATCCCCGACTGTAAATAGATTTTGCTTGTTCCGAGATCGTCTTCCTCTTTCCACATATAAAGCATTAATATCAGGCATATCTATTGCACGACTTTCACAAAAAGACTTTACCTTGGAATAGAGACTGTTGTATCCATCATCTCTCATTTTTTGGATAAGACTCTTCGTCGTCTCCACAAGATGCATAGTATTCAGAATATCTTGAGATTTTCGTTGTAGAGCTTGACAAAGCATATCAGTTATTTCCATGATTTCCTTCATAAGATGTAAGATGAAGATGAATTCGAATGAAGTTAACGAAGTGTAAGCTGAATCAGCATCAGCTCGCTGATCACAATTTCCCTCATCAATGATGCATAACAAAACCGAGCAAGAAACACTAAACATCTTTAACAAACTCGAAATTGACCTCAAGTGTGAGCCAAAACGCGTATCCCCTGCTCGTTGTAAACTCCCAATTTGATTTTGTCCAGTCCCTTTTTCAAGCTCATCAATAAAAATCAAGTAAGCAATATCAGAAGCTTGAGCCGCTTTTAATTCATCGACGCGTTTACACGAAGAACCCACCACATTTATAATGAGATTTAGTTTTGTAAAAAAATGGTGGATGGGAGTAACTTCTCGAGATGTGCCAACTAACGCCAACTGCAAGCGATGAGCTAAACAATGCACATAATATGCAAATGGGCATTCTTTAGAAATCAATGCTTGTAGCCCGTTGAATTCACCCCTCATATTACTCGCCCCATCATATCCTTGACCCCGAATATTTTGCATGTTAAGATTGTGACGAGAAAGAGTAGAAAATATTGCATCTTTTAAAGTTACCGCCTTCGTATCAGACACATGTACGAGATCGAAGAAGCGCTCCCGAACAAAACCATTAATATCAACAAATCTCAAAACAATACTCATTTGCTCCCTTTTTGATTCATCTCTGGCCTCATCAACAATAATGCGAAACTTTGCATCCCTAATTTCCTCACGAATCACTTTCTTGATCCTCATTAAGATAACAAGTAAAATATCCTTTTGAACAGACGGGGATATATACGAGGCATTTTGAGGTGCTTTGTCTAACACAACATTTGAAATATTTTCATTAAGTTTAGACATTGCACTCAAAAATTCAAGAAAATTACCACGGTTAAGAGACTCTCTACTTTCAACATGACCTCTAAAAGCCAAACCTTGACTCGCAAGATACCGGACTGAAACAACTGAGGCTTTGAGTCGCAATCTATTTTTTGCAATTTGTTCCGAACTTTGTTTTTCAATAAAATTCCGAACATGTTGTGCTTGATTCATTAAGTCTTCACATGATTTCTCGGCAATTTTGTGCAATGAATTATGATCTTTTCCAATGTGATTAAGAAATGCACAGTCTTTCCCATTCCGTACCTTTTTCCAGTTGTGAAGCCATCAACAATAAAAGTATTCTGACTGTGATGCTTACCTGGTTTGTTGAACAAATAACAAGGTAAACAAAAAGCAGCATCACTCGTAGGAGAGTATTCTAACCAAGACAAAAATATCTTGAACCACGATGCTTGAAAACGACAAGAATGTTTTTTAGACCCGCTCAATGGATATTCTCCAATGTATTGATAAGGACCATAGTTAATATAAGCCCGTCGAACTTCATCAATTTTATCAACGGGATAATTTGATATTGGCATACGTAATCCTGGGTCACGTTCAAGCTTGTTGATATCAAAAACCGCCGACTCAATTCTAAGTGATTTTTGAATTTGGTTATCAGCTTTCTCAACAGTTGGTGGTCCTCCTTTATCTTCTTCAACCTGATCATGTTTTCTTTTAAAAAAAGAATCAATTCTTGATGATTTTCCCATATCCTGAAAATAAATAAAAATAATGAATATTAATATTAAAGGATCTAAAATAAGTTTCTTAAAACAATATAAGTAAACAAATAGAGGAAACCTCATAGAAGAGCCATAAATTCACTTGCTTAAACCCTAAATGGCCAAATAGCTCAAAGGAACAAATAGATAAATCATAATTCATAAATAAAAGTATAAAAAATACTTACAAATATAATTATCCGATCAAATTATCAGAAGATGTGAATGCTCAAATCTCAATCGATATATTTTTTTTTTGTTCCTGTTTGCTCTGTCGAGACTGTCGATGGTGCTCTCCCAAAATTTCTGTAAAAGTAAAGTTCTCTGCGGGCCTGCCGCTTTTCCTTATATTTTATATGATTTATTTTAATTGTTTTTTTAACGGTTTAGAGAATAATTAACTAATTTAATATATTATATTATATATGGTTAGTTGTTTTGTTTACGGCTTATTAAAGCAAAAAGAATAAGTTAGAATCGCTTTGCCTTTTTCTATTTAATATATTATTTTTTTTAGTTTATATTTCAAGAAACAAAACAATTAAATATACATTATTATTATATACTATTTATATATACATAGTACTAAGGGAAAAAAAAAAGATTGGGGGGACCATGGCCCACCCTTACATTGATGTACATCCGCCCCTGCGTGCTCGTACAGATTCAGAATCGTGTCTAGCTTTTTCCTACTCATTCTCAACACATTCTTCTAGAGTTCTAGCATGTTTTATGCATAACTTTAGCACATATGAATTGTTCAAGCATTCATCAGAGATAAAACGTTGCTAATCCAATTATATTTGAGTTACTTTAACTCAGTTTTGAGTTAAATAAATTCAAATTCCCCAACATTTCAACAATAGAGTTAATTTCTCATCCTTCTTAAAATAGTTTTGAGATATTATTCTAGTCTCTTACCCACAAAAATTAGAACCATAATATCAGTACAAA